CCCCACGCCGCGAGACAGCGACGACATGCACCCCCACGCCGCTTACCCCGTCGCGAGACGGTGACGACGTGCCGGTCCCCCTTTTTATCCCCCCCCCTTCCCTCTAGGGTCCACTGCTATGACTAGAATCTGATCCATTGATCTCTGAACACCTCTCTTCCCTTACTTTCTACTGATTGGTTGCTTAAACTTTTTGTTCACTCTACCCTCCCTTATATTATTATATTTGCTTGATGATAAATCATCGAAAACGTTCGTTCGCCTAGCTTGACTTCCTAAATGCTTACGTGGGTATCATCACTGAACCTTATCTAATTCAATAAATAAAAGACTGTTACTTTTTAAGACGCTAGAGCACTTAAATTGCGCCCCACGTAGACAAGCTCTTCAATCTTCCAGAAGAATATATCTATAGTCAATTTTGCCCATTCACATTCTTCCGTTGTACACGCATGCAAAGGTAATGTGGGATTAACGTGCGTCAGTATTAAAACATCGGAAGCCCTGAACTAACGAGAACGTTACTTTCGATGAAAGTATTACTTAACTTATTCCATAAACTAATCAGTCGACATTAAGCGGGACTCCCCATGCACTCATTGCAGTCGACAAAAAGAACAGGCCAGCTGGGTCATGCCGCTCTCCTACCTTCTAGTCGGGCTAGAACAACTGGGCTATAATATTATATCACTTTTACAAGATTTGGAGATACGTGTATTTGGTTCACTCACGCCATCTAAAGTGGTGTATAGACTGTGGAACAAGGAAAACGTGTCCGCATGTCAGCAGACCAAAATAGGCACTACTGCTAGTATGATTCTCACGTTGTTTGTTCCTACCCCATATAAGAGTTTTATACTGAAGTGTGCACAGTGAAGGAGCGGCGCCACGATATCTCCTCCGACATATTTTCCTAGTAGAGGAAGATTCTTGCTGCAAGTGCTACGGGCCGGCGATGTGCATGAACAGAGCGTGCCGGTACGGAAATGTAGAAAAAAGGGTTGCCGGACTGTTCGATGTGGAATGAATTTTCCCATTGGCGTTATTTGAGAGGAAGACTCCATTTTTAGGGAGGTTTGGCAGATTTGCTTAATTGAGTTGACCCAATTATGAAAAATTCACCGCCTCGATGGGAGTCGAACCGACACAGCAGGGAAAGCTTTCGCGCATCTAACGCTCTACCATTGAGCTACGAGGCTCACCGTGAATTCAATCACACTTCGATCGATTTTTCCCGCCCAAATTACTGCTCGTATGAAATCTAGATGACTGCTTAGGAAACCTTGCCCGAGCAGTCAGCTTGCTGTTCCGTAATGGTGGATTCCGTACGAACAGTAATTAGGATGGGTAAAATTGATCCAAGTGTGATTAAATTCACGATTCATGGTAAGCCTCGTAGCTCAATGGTAGAGCGTTGGTTGCGCAAAAGCCTTTCCCGCTATGTGGTTTCGACTCACACCGAGGCGGTGAATTTTTAACAATTGGGTCGACTGAAGGCTCTGTTGTAATTTAAATTCCTGTGAAATTTCAAATCTGATTTATATCTGGAGCAGCAGAATGCCGCTGGAAGAAGTGCCAAGGCTTACTAGTAGATACTCAAGTACTGTGATTGACTGGTTAAATTACT